GTCAAACCACGTGACACGTGGATGAGACATGCTGAATAACGAAAATATTAGTTTTAGTGACGTTGAACACAAAATAAAATTTATATGGTGCTCTGAGGTAAGTTATCAGTAGGATTTTGTATATTTGTATCCGTTCAAGGACTGTAAACCACAGATGTTGATGCAGAAGCGAGGTAATATGTTGGCAGAATACTGTATATGCTGTTGTAATGGAAACAACTACCTAAGATGTATAGATTTCAAATAATGCATTTGTGTGTACTTCATTATAAATAGCACGATACTATTTACCCCACGTGACACCCTAAACGCCTACGCCCACTTTGGTTTGCCGATGTGAATTTCATACTCAAGAACACACATTCTCTGGTAATTCGATTTCATTAGATAATTATTTTATTGCTGATTCGTATTACAAACTGTTATATACATTACTGTTCTATGCGTAAGTAATTAAGTTGAAATATTATTAATGAACATTTCAATTGGTGAAAACTCAAAGAGTGCCATTGGCAAGCGATAAAGGTGTGAGCGTTAAAAGTGCGACCTGTTATTTTTTTAGTTTGTTTATTTTTTTCATGATTTATTTTGTTTTTAGTAAATGAATTTAAAAATACGAGAGGGTGTATTCCCATAATATCTGATGGAACACCGAAGACTGAACTAATACCAGGGTAATGTGTAGTTTTTCGAGAATAACCAATAGTAAAAATGTGGCATGTTAAACAATTGAGAACTTGATTTTACAGAAGTATTTACAATTTTGAAACATATCATAGTGGCCAAGTATAAACTTCAATCGAAAAAAAAACGAAATGTACAAAAATATACAGAATTGTAAAGAGTCTAGTATCTATTACTTAAACATGTTCATTGGTATATATAATGTTCTATGTAAAAACGTTAAATCTTTACCATACGACAACTAAATAAAAGACGCTGTTTATTAAAACGCCAAACGAAACAAAATGATTCTGTCCGTTTTAGGAACGGTAAATGGCGTTTAATTATTCAAACGGTGACGGTTCCCAAACACATATTTCTCCAAGTTCATTCACATATATCACAGGCATATATAGATATTTGAAATTTCAGTCAACATAATTGTATAAGACAAAAATCTGTAATAGTCTACTTGTCGGTTGAATATCCATATGTTACATGTATCAAAAGTAAAAAAAAATGGATTGTAAACTATGAACTTAATGAACATGCTTGGTTACCTATGACAATCCAATCTAACGTGATGTAGTCATTATTCATAGATGAGTAAAAAATTATGCAATCCATGTTAGTCAAAACACACTTTTCTGTACACGCTGGCCATGAATATCGTGCAATACTAATTCTGTCAAACTATATGACGCATCTCGTAACTACGCAAACTTCGGGTCCTTTCTTCAACTGTGTTTTCCCACAAATATTACGACCGTGTATTTTACGACATGTGTTCGATTTCAAACGTGAGCAATTACTATTCACTTATAACACGAACAACGTTAACACATACATCAAAACTTTATAAAAAGATAATTCAATTTATTTAACAAATGAACAAAATGTAAGATGATCAACGTCTTACAAGTAATAGTTTTGGCATGTAGTATTTTTTTTTATCTCCTATCTACCGAATATCAACGACTGCATATGATATCTAATAAGGTTTCCCAACAGTTTATCAGCGTCAGCCCACAAAAACAACACGTAAGAACATCCATTGCTTTTGCGCTGTTACTGCCCATGGTATCAACCATGTTTTGTTTTTTTAACAACTCAGCGCTTGAATATGTAAATGTATGTAAATATTTATGTGCATTTTTCATTCACGATACTCGAAGGATCAAAGCGTTTCAGACTCTATCTCAAGGGCGTTATTCATATCCTGTGCTCCATCTTTCCCCACGTCATTTTCTTCGTCTGCTTGTGCAGTTTCATCAGTTTCGTTCTTGTGTTTACTACGAACACATATACAGGCGGTAAGTTTCAAAGCGAACAAAGTAAAGAGACTTTTGATAAATACACAGAATTCGCAGATTGTGATAACAGACACGCCGATATAGAGGCCTAGCAGTCCGCCCATATCACTCATCAGGTCATCGCTCTGTCGAGTTAATCATAGAGTAACATGAAGACTGAATTAGATTAGATTACATTACATTACATTACACATTTAGTTGACTATAAATCCATAATACATAATATGTAATTCAGGTGTACAATCTGGTACATGACGAATACATGTACGTGGAAAAAACACGTGTGGTACTAGAATCATTGATATTTACCGTATATGCTATCGTTTCCTTCACGTATTGCACACTTAAACTATCGTAATAGACCTCAATGTACGCCAGATTTTTCCTGTAATACAAATACCGTACCATTAGATAAATGCAATTTGTAGGTTTATAGGGCAGTATCATTATATACAAAGTAACACATGTGTACTTACTGCGCTGACTCGTAGTCAGATATTCGTTTCGTTTTCGGGTTGATTGCATTTATACTTTTCAATAGTTGTCTCTGTACAGATATGAAAACAAGATTAAAAGCGAAAAAATATCAATTTAACCATAATGTATATTTATGAAAAATCAGTTGTTCGCTTTACCCCGAAGTCTCGATATTATACTTGTAACTTACCAAATAGCTGTCCGAAGGCCAAGAAGCCAGAGATGTAGTTTTATCAAAACCAGCTTCCCTGTAGAAAATTAAAAAAATAAATATGGTTTATTTTAACTGTAACCAATACGACTTCAATCACAACATCGGATAAGGATAATGTTCACCTGTCATTGTGGTGTATACGAGTTACAAATAGACTTTACAAGCAAATGACCGGCAAAATCTCACTGAGAACGAGAGCGCGATATGAATGATTTTTAAGTTACAAATTGTGTTCCATTTTCTCCCGTCATCATATCCACTGTTTCATGTAACCATGGTATTTCAAACATTGGACGTAATGACGAGAGAATATGGAATTCTACTTGAGCGCGTTGTGTCTCTCTCGCTTTAAACGAGATCTCTGTGGTAATTTGCGTCTAGAATATTAATAATAATACAAAAAATCATTAAGGTGTCTTCTGTCTCGTGTTCAGTTGCAATGAGCACACAGAATATGACGCGTAGTGTAAGACATGGCAAGCGGATACCGTGGTTTATGCAAGTGATTAGTTTATCAATATGGTGTCAGTAAATGAGCACCACCAATCCAGTTGATCTAAACGTTATACGTCACTCAGGTGACTTCCCTGTACTGCTTGGTCGTGTAGTGAATTATCCCACTGTTTACTTACTCGCACGGTGGCCAACAGTCGCATGGCAGTACTTGATTTTGTTGTAAATAATGCATCAGTTGACGACATGCCTCTAAACAAATAATACAGGTCTATATTAGTAAGTATCACAGATAAATCAAGCGTCAATTTTCGTGTATCTGCTCTATAATACTTTGTTACCGTTGGGGAAATCGCTGCTGAAATTGCTTGCTCGTAATAGTCGGTTATATCTCATTTGGGAGCATCAAGTAATACTCATATTATTAGTATTGGCGAAGATGTAGTTAGTCAGAATATGATTCATCTTAAACTCTCCTCACCATACATGGATACTAAAGTTAAATACCTTCATCATAAAAATCCGTGATAAAAACAACTTTCTCACCCTGTGTTTTATTCAAGATATGACATTTTCCTCCACCATAAAATGGAACATCCATACAACCACAGTATTCTTGCATTCTGGATTGTAAACAGAAGTGTCTGCAACCCTGATAAACAAAAAATACAAATTGCTAAGCCTTGTCAAGTCACATGTTGTAATGTGAATTGTACGCTGACATAGTGCATTCTCTCATATTTGTACCTTTCACTAAATATTATGAAGAGGTACGCTAATGATAAATGTAAATATGTAATCGTGTTTCTTTGTACATCAATAGTAAAGTGACGAGCGTAGGGACGCCCGAAACTATTCTGAAAATGCTGACACTTTAATAATTAGGTATTATTCGACACACAGTGCATTCTAAGATACTTGTTATGTAGAGAGATTTTTAAGAACAAAATTATTGTTCATCATGATTTAATGATGTATTGAACTCAAAATGCATTTTATTTTCCAACAAAGTATATGGGTCTGCTTACCAGAGTAGAATGTCTGTAATTTCGATATATGGGATCTGTCGTGCTATTACAGTCGCTATATTGCTTGCCTTTCCTCTCGTAGATATTCTGTGATAGAGTGAATAATGAAGAACATGCTAAAATTAATGTTTACAAAATAACTAACCCAGTCCGCATACGGCTTTGGGCGTACAACTAGTCTTCTATTTTACAGAGGTTGCAAGGTTTTTTAAGTGTGCCGGTATGAATCTATAAATACAGAAACGATATAGGTGTTCCATTACCTGACGTATGGCAAATGATGTGGCGGCCCCTGTTTTGGCTGTCAGACCATTGTCTTCTGGCATAGGCATCTCATAAGGATGGTGAAGAGTAACGCGAACACCTGATTCTTGACCGTATATTCCAAGGTACTCATGTTGTTCAGTGAATAAAGTTAGCTTCAATCCTAAAGGTTATAACGAACACAGTTAACAAACATCACCACCACCAACAACAACAACAACAACAACAACAACAACAGCAGCTAAAACAGCAACATCAATAATGACTAACTGTGACCATAATCGAACTAGGTCTAATAAGTATACAGTGTAATATACCAAAGCACGGAACATGAATCCGTTGATTATTCTACACCGCGATCACATCCATGTGACAATAAAAGTGCTCTAGAATGTCTTTGTTCGTGTTTACAAGAGCATTATAGAGTTAGCATCCGTGTAATACAGTGGTTTTAATTTTGTTACAATTATATCCATTGCAATTAGTTCAACACGACTTGCTATGAGTTTACGTACATTTTTTTTTCATTATCACATTTTTAATATCTATAACATATTTCTCATTATCGCTCGATAAATGAATATTCAAAAATTGGATGGTCAATTAAAACGTGAGTATGTGTTGATAAGTAGTGTCTCTGCTAGTACACAAATGAGGTTGTACAAGTTTGAATATATTACCGTATTGTGCTCCTGACTTCGTAGCATTTCGAAGATCTCCATCCTCCCCATGATTAAAGGTAAAACAGTTGCCATATACTTTGCTTTCAAAGGATTTGAAGTCACTGCAATGAAAGTTATATCAGAGATACGTTAGGTAAAATCTAGTACGTGATTTCTTTCATAATTTCTACCGTAGTGGCGCACTACATGAGTACGCAATATTAAAAAATGTGTGGCGCACAGGTTCAATGTGCGCGAAGAAAAATAGTTTAGAGGACCTATGTGAAAATAGAGAAAATGTCTGTGGATTATATAACATGTCACTAATTAAACTAAAATCAAGTTTTGAACTGTTTCCGTCGATTGTTATACGTTACAGTGCCAGGTATATATTGATAGTGGTGGTGGTCAAATGTTGAACTGGGCTTTTGACACGCAGAACATTGAAAACAATATATTTTGCGCACCTGTAATTACACGGCCGTTCGTTGTAACTGCATTGTAAAATGAAATCTTCGGCTTGGTGACCATACTCATTGATCTCTTCCGTGTTTAACTGGAGCACATTTTGAAGGTCGCTGAAATCAGGAGTGGCGCTAAAAGTGACAAATCCGTTCCAGTCAGGAGGATCTTCACGTCTTACTCTGTCGAACCCAGGATCTTTATAATAATACCTTAAAAAATCGTCGTAGAGATTCTTTGGGGTAGACGTTTTCGACATGTTGGAGTAACGATGCCACCACCCGTCTTCGAAAACGTCTGTTTTACTTAAATCTAGGAAAATGTAATAGTAAATTCAAGTAAAAAAAAATATCAGTATCCCTAAGTACGAATGTCAAACGACAAATGATCCCACTATAATTGCGCGCACATCGAACATATTCTGAAATATATACCCGTTGGTGATTTTGGAATTGATCAACAAAATCAGGCCCGTTTTTGCAGTGATACGTTCAAATTTAGCATGGTAGAAAATGAAATTCACTTTGTTTTTATATGTCCATTTTATAATGCTCTAAGGGCTGATCTTTTGTCAATAACCCTATGCAATTATGCAAATACTGACAGTCTGGGCTTACTTCGTCGCTACACAAACTGTCACACCATATAACAAATAGCTCTATATCTTTTAAAAGTTTTCAAGCGACGAGATGAATATGAATCCAGCTTAACTTAGTACCATATGTTTACATGGATGTTGTATTGTGTTTAAAACGTTCTATGCACTTTTCTACCTATTACATTTTATACGATAGGCTGAGGCCCTGTACAGAAATAAAATTACATAATACACAATTGACTAATACTAAAAGGAATAATTGTAGACAGATTTCGACATGAAATCGTGTCACTTTTATGTGCGCTAACATCTGCGAAGAGCGAAAAAACTCGTAAGTAGTCTTCTACCTTAAAATACTTAAACAATAATGCTAAGATAAGTACAGTCTTATCTTTTTTGTGTACAACATTTAGCCGTAGTGGATCAAGGGTGTGGATGTGTTTTTCTGTAGGTGAGGAATGGCTCAGGACCCCTTCTCTAAAATGGTAAAATAGTTCAAGGATGTTATGTGAAATATCTTACCAACGTAACACAAAGTAACCCAATTGAATTTAAAACCGATAATATAAAAATATCTGTAATCTGTTACACACTTTTTGAATATTTTAAAATTCACACATTTCACATCAAATATATAATTGTTGTTTTCGAACCCCCTGTTCAAAAGTGCTGGCTACGGCCTGAAAATCCTGTAACAGGTTCAACTAGGAGACAGTCAATAAGTACTGGTGTGGTGTGATCAAATCTGTATATACCGCGGATTAAACGTTCTACCATTTTCGCTAGCCAGGGTCTAAGTTTATTCGGCCAAGCCTCTAAACAGACCTTGGCAGAACGACCATCAAATATGCGTATTCTAACATTTTGAACAAAATGGCGGCGCCCATGAATCGTGATATTTGTGATGATAAAATTGTTTTCGGTGCCTTCAAGCCTCATCAGGTACAGGCAATCGACACAGTTTTGTGTGGGAAGGATGTCTTCATGCCGACAAAAACAGGAAGTGGAATATTGTTTTATAATTTAGTACGTCCAAGATGATTGGGCGCCTTGTTTCGAGGCGCGCCCAATCAGATCTCACTGCTTAAGATACGCAATTAGCCTTAGCAATCCCGCACGGTATCGTGTAGAGACCTATAGGTCGAAGACCTGGACCGTGCGATTCGGATGATGACGTTCTACACGCGTACTACATGCGTATTACACGCGTACTACACACATACAGCGTGGTTGGGCGTATTACCTTTGTAGATGCACTGCGACCAGAATTCGTCGTTACCGTCCGGGCAATCGCTGTTGATATCACAGAACAGAACGTCATCAATGCAGGATTTCTCATCACACTTGAAAAAATCAGGCGGACAATTACCGAGTTCATCCGGTGTGACTGAAATGAATCAAAGAATTGTGTTTTTGTCGAAACAACATAAATCAGAAATTCTATACCTGAATGAGATCCAAAGAAACTTCAACACTCCCGCGTTCCTTTTTTAAAAATTATTATCTCCTATGGCCAAATAATGCATTAATAGTTACGTATAGTGTTTATTTATTCTGTACGGCCAATGTTAAATCACATTTACTTTATCATTGCCATTTATGACAAATGCGTTAGTCACATATGAAAACATGGCAACAATAGCCCTTGGACGCGAGAGAGCATTGGGTCTTCTTGCCTTTCAAATAGTCTCCCATCCTCTCATTCATAATCACGTTCCAAATACCATGGTTATGTCGGCCATGGAAACAAACAAGATGAATTGCCATCTTACTAGAGAGACACGGCTCTTTTGAAGTCCCTTTCACACAGCGTGCTCTGAGTCCCGCGTTACATAATAGACAAAGGTGTCTAACAACAACAATGTACTTACCTTGCTTTCCTTCACATATTTTACAACTTAGAGGGCAGTATCTCATCATGTATGAGGGATTCTGCTCACACTCTCCATTGTCTGCCCAGTGTGGACACTGCTCTTGAATATCGGTACACACTTCAAGTGTGAAGAAGAACAAATAGACAGTGATTCAATAACTAATTGGGCTGTAGAGTTGGTAATATGATAACAACATTCAATTTCAGTAGTGAGAGGAGGGTAGTTCGTCAAACACTGGACAATATTTGTTCCGGGACTAAAGTACAAAAAGTCTAACGTTGCACCGTGTTAGATTTAAAATTACGTACTTTGAATTAACCTTTTTCGTGTCAATGATTCGTGATGTAAAAATGTTGAGATTACCGCGGCGTGATAAACATCCCATTTACCCTCACATAAGTATACGTTGTTATGCTTATATCATGTGGTCCTTATTGAACGAATGCGGATACGATGACCATCGAGTTGGAAATACATAGATATAAGCGACATGAGTCTATGTGTAAGTTCAATGTCAAAACAATGTTAACTCACGTAAGCTTGTGCAGTTCTGTAGCTCATCACTGTGATCTTTACAGTCATTGAAACTGTTACACACCTTCCATCCTTTGATGCACTCACCACTGTCACATTTGAACTCGTTCTTGTTACATGGTCCTATGTAGAAAACAAACACACGTCATGAGGCCGACATATAAGCAGATCGCAATATCCAGTTATCTATGTGTTTCATCTGTGAGGTTAGTTTTAACGCAAAGTAGTAAGATACCTAGACGAGACGCGCGACAAGGTGTAGATAGCGTTATTCTGATATTTCACAATTAAAACCTGTTTAATTGAATATAAATGGCGCCTGGGGTGGCCACTCTGGTAAAATTGTGTCACCAAAACTTCCCCGACGCTGCGTATCCGGATTGACGGTGGAACAGGGGGCATGTCACTAAAGAATGTCACATCGCATCACTATAATACTCACTATATTGGCAGCCAACTTCGTCACTATTATCGCCGCAGTTGTCGTTCCAATCGCAGTGTTCTTCACGGGGAATACATTTTTTGTTGTCACATGTATATTCCCATTCTTGACATACTCCTACAAATTAAAATTTAAACATTATTTCCGCAGATGAGACTTAGAATCGATTTAATTACAAACGAAATCTATTGAAAGAAATAAAATTTGCACTAGCAAAATAAAAAAAAAATGGACAATGAAAACATTGGTATTTAAGCTGAATACGTCTAAATTAAATTATTAAAGTTGAATTTCCACTTTTGTATGATATAAAGAATAATAATATTGGGAATACAGTGAAAAATTCTTTTTATTGGACTGGGGGTTGTGAGCGTATCAATATGACTTACATAAATTCCCATTCAACGGCACAATGAACGCACCCATAAATATAAATCTGCGCACGTCTTCGACGCATGTCCAGTGAGAAGATCACTTATCACGAACATATACTTGATTTCGTGCGTTTGTAATTTGTATATGCGAAATACGTGAAATTTTAAAAATGCACTCACTAAATTTACACCCGTCCTCGTCACTCCCGTCTCGACAGTCTTTCTTATAGTCGCATTTATCGGTGTAGGGATGACAGAAATTGCCATCGCAGAAAAATCCCTCGCACTCTCGGGCATCACCGCCACCTAGTGTTGAAACATAGAAAGTCATTGTGTTGCAGATGGACTAGTACAAGAGAATTGATTTCAAGACATCTCTGTTTGTGATTCTAATGTTTGCCTGATCTTACCGCAATTCTTCTCGTCTTCTTTCTCGTTACAGTCTGGAATGCCATCGCATTGCAGTGACGATGGGATACACACGCCGGATAAACCTCCCTTGGAGCATTTGAACTGGTCTGAACCGCACACATAGTTACCTAATAAGAACATGAATAAATATACATGAATGACCTGAAGTGTTGCAACAGTGCCACCTTCAGTTAGAGATTAACGAAACTGAAAACTCACTGTAATCGCAACCGAATTCGTCGCTTCCATCCGGGCAATTCCTCATTCCATCGCATACAAGATAGGCTTTGACGCAGTGGACACCGTTGTTACAAATAAAGTCCCCGGGAAGACACGGAACTGAGGAAACAATACGATACTCGATTAATACTATTAGATACGTCGGTATATTTTTCTAGCCACCTAATGTATTTTCCAGGAATGGAGAAATGGACATATTTCATATAAGGCCGCCCTCTATGTCGCCAAAATGATGTAAACGAGTGAAAATATATACCCTACTACTGTATGGTGTATGTACACTATTTGGAATATTGCTCCAAAAGTCAATTATATAATGATTTGTAGTTGGTCCTTTATAATATATATATAATGCAGTAAGTCTTTGTGTTTTGTTAACGACAAACGGTTAAAATTTACACTATGTGAATGGCATTGGGGGCGCAACTCATAGAAATAGTGTTCTATCATAATCACGCCACTAACTCAGTATGCCATCGTGAAATAAGGTCAATGAAATGATATTTTCAAAGAATATCTCATCGAGATGCCCATGAATTATATCATTGAACGATTTTATTTTTGTGTATGGTATTTTCAGTCGCGGGACCATGTAATCCCATTGTTCGCGAGACAGGACGAAAAAGGGGCGTGGTCATGCATAAACGTCTAATTAAATTTGTGAAATCTAATAACGCCTTTATGCAAGCAGAGCAAAATAATGTTGAAGCTACGATTTATTTGACAACTCCAGGAGTTCAGGTAACAAAATAATAGATAAATGGGGATATTTTAATCAGGGTCGTAGAATGACTGATGGTAACGACAAGGTAACGTTATAACGTGATTGGATGTGCTACGTAATTCGATAAGAATTGCGTAGTTAAGAATAACAACGTACCGTAGTAGGCTTGGACTTTGACGTTCAGCATGAGATTTACAAACGGGTAATGGTTGCTCAGTCGCAGCGCTGATGCTCGTACTTTGTTCGTGTTGCATACCGTTACTGCCGGGAACGGCAATGTGGGCCAAGCTATCTCCTCCATATCGATATTCACTTTGTAATCAAAGAACCGAAACACCATCACAGAGGCCTGTACGATAAAACCAATACAGGCACCGAGCACCACCAACGCCCATAACAGGCGACTTGCGCTTGATTTCGAGCGACCAATATTGGGAAGACCGTGCCAAGTAGTATTGTCGCAGAATTCGTGAGTGACCTGGTTCAGTTCATGTGCAAACTGTGACTTGTTCTTGTCTTCGTTTTCATCGCAACTAGAAAGTGACACGTCATCACCTAACACATCATCGCCAGCGTCTTCCGGTGACGCCGTCGACCTGAAGAGAGAATAATCGAATTCGATATTCAGAATTTTAGTTTCATTTCCACGCCCATATATTCGGCAAATCTTCTCGCTTATGTTGCACTCGTATAAACATCACATGTTGATGGAAGGAACCATTATGAATTATGGGGTGTAAATTAGGAATTGAAAATCAGTCTGCTAGAGAAAATTTATCAAACACATATACCAAATTAGTACACGATCGTCTTTTCGCCAGACTGATAACAGAGTCCGACAACAGACAGAAACAGAAATTGTACACTATTTCCACCAACCCAGCCTAAATATTGATGAAACGTTCGACGTGTATATAAATATTAACACAAAAATACAAGTACTCACTTTGGGATGTTTCCATTGCTAGCGATATCCACTGTATATCCATTATTGTGCCGACCTTGCTGCAAAAAAAAACGCAAAATTTACGTCATTTTTGGATATATACGGAAATGTTACAGGTTAACCGCTGTGAGAACAATACAAACTTTACTTACAACCATACTCTTGTGCCGATACAGTGCACTGCGTCTGCGCAGAGCCATTTTCTTCTTTTTTCGTCGTTTGCGAACGCATACCACAGTTACATTTATTGCAATCAAGATGGCCACCAAAAGGACCTGCGCTGCGATCAGAATTGACACTGAAAACAAACACATATCAATCTGTTACTTCGTCAATATTTCTGTAGTATTAAACTTTATAATGAAATTAGAAATTGGTTAGTCATGTTTACTGTTGTAAATAAATGCACTTACCAAGGTTCAATTCGCAGTCTGGACCTATCCACCACGTATTGCATTTACAAGTGTACGCCAAACAGTCCTCCGATGGAATACACGTTCCGCCATTGTGACAAGGCATGAGTCGACAAGCATCAAAACCTAACATTAAAAATTAAAAATATAAGCATTTAATCTTTTCAAGACAAAGTCCGCTAGAGTGTTAACCCATTCATGTATACAGAATCAGTTAATATATTTCTTTTACGTTCCAAACCATTGATAGGCCACGCGCCAGGCGCGCGCCCCCGCCTTCAGTCCACAAAAAAAAAAGAAAAAATGACAAATCAATTGACAAACCCAGCCCACCGGAGGTCTACTTCGGCCATGTCAATATGAGCGCGCGCCCCCTTAACGAATTTCTGGATCCGCCAGTGTAGGTGGATTGTTCCGTCAGTGTTGTCTCACTGAAAACGGCACAGTGGACCGATGATGTTTGTTTCATCACGGTAGGAAGTTGAGCAAGATGAAGACTGTAGTGTTATTGAGTGAACATCCGGTTACGGTGATAGACGTCATAAATATTAACGATCATTCGAATGCGTGAGATAAAAAGTCCCCGCTATATTGTTAACTGGTTTACTCACTCGTTTCGCACATGTCTCCTTTATAACAAGTAGGGCACGTACAATTGTACTCCGTACAAGATCCTTCCAATGGCTCGCATATTCCTTGGTTCTGACACGGACTCGAGTCGCATGGATTCTTCCCTGCCGCAAAAAAAGAATCAAATCAGAAAACATACACAAAACTATATCTGATACGAAGAGCAAATCCCAAAATATAAAGAATGAGATGTACTTTATTAACTACACTTTTTAATAATTATGTAGGAAATTTAAAACTATGTAAATTAAATCTTAACAAAATTTTCAATAAATGAAGTATTTTCAACCCGTCTTGAGTCTGTTTTCCATTGCGTTCAATTGTTCTCTTCGAAAAGTAAAGAAAATTAATTTTATTTTATTTGAAAAAGTTAATTGTGTTATATTTCGTAGCTTCTCACATACAAACACTACTCAATATTTGGTGAGAGAAAACCAACGAATTGTATCATTGGAACAATAGGCAACAATGACGAGTAAGAAAATAACTAATATAAAACAAAAGCCCTACTTACAGTTTTGGCACACCTTCCCTTCATAGCATGGCGGACATTTACATTGATAATCCATGCATTTGTCTTCAACTGTCCTGCACGTACCGCCATTACGACATGGTTGAAAAAACTCACAGGAGTCATTCACAACTTTGGAGAAAGGAAATATACACGTGAATTGCTATAAGGGAATTTTAATACGCCACAAAATGTATAAATTACAGGAAATTGTGCCATTTAAAATATTCTAGGATTGAGGTGCATGTTTGATGACGTCATCAAAGGTTAGTTCAAAGATGGACCACGACCTAATGATGTGTACCTTAGATTCGTATCAAAATAACGACAAATGTGAGTGGATATCACGATATCAGATATACCTGGCGAAATTCGGTTGTGATTGACAAACATTGGAACATATTGAAGGACATTTAAATTATATTGATAGATTATTGAAATTATGATATAGGCGATAACACAACAATTTATAAACGAAGATGAGCCAAAATGACAGATTATGACGTACTTTATGATAACATATCACGTGACACAGAACTACTTAGACTGATTGATTATACTTACGTTTGTCGCAGTATTTACCGGTATAACAGTCGTCACATGAACACGAATACTGGTAGCACGACCTCTCATCACGTACGCACTCTCCGTGCTGACACAAGTCATCCAAACACGGGTCAAGAACTGCCCACAAAGTAAAAATATCGCATGTTATTCTATTGGCAGAGAATTAAATTATACAATATTGCCGTTGCTGATGTTTCGTTTGAGAAGAGCAAAACTGAATAGCGCCACCTAGAAAAATCGGATTACTGAACTGAGTACTAATTAGTTCAGAATGTACTTACGGTCCTGGCATTCTGGACCAGTGAAACATCCGGGACATTCGCATCTATGATTACAGGAAACCTCGTCCGGCAAACAAACTCCACGACTACATGGATTTGGCTGGCATGGGTTGTACACTAGAGAAGAGAGTTTGTGTGAACTCAGGTTAACACAGACATAGTAGGCATCGCTAATTCTATATTGATGTTATTATCTCTCGTATAAAGTAAGAAACACTGAAAAAGTCGCCGGGTTAATTGTTCACGCGTGATCTAATAATAAGCAATTAAATGGAACTGAAACCGCCAGTTTCTAATGTTTTGCTGTTTAGTCGTTACGGTTCAGCATATATGTTTAATAGTTTATTGAAAAAAGTAATACCGAGTTAAAGTTCCGGTACATGTTTTTGTGCGCACATGCCATAGAACAACAATGTAAGTAAACAGATCGGTATATTCGATCGCATCCACGATGAATTTTAGAGTCGACGTTTAGATTATTACATAGTGTGAATTATACAAATATGTACGATTCCCCGTGTATTACCTTTTGGTCTAAAATATTAGAATATTATATTCGAACTAAAGCATGGAATCACAAGAGTGACTTACCTGTTTGGCATTGTTTACCAACATAACACCCATCTTCTTTGTTACTACATTTACATTCGTAATCACTGCACTGGTCCCCAATCGGATGACACGTGGTATTGAATCCTTCTCGGACCGGACACGGATTGGTGTTACAGGCATTGTTATCTGAAATTGACAGTTATAATTACTTAACTAAAAAGGAATCTACTCAATTGCACGAGTGTTGTTACCTTCACAAAATGTTGACGTCATTTAAGGGCAATTATCTGTTAGTGATACTGTTCTAATGTGTTCATTGTGTGTGTGTTTTTTTATATATAAAACGGAATTCAGTGGCATGTTCCATAAGACAAATACACTTCTTTCGTCGATCACAAATAATCATTATTTTATTTGACACTGAATTAATATTGATTGGAATAAGACCAAAGTAGAAAACAAAATTATTTTATTAATACAGAGGTCAAGAATATAATTATTATCCTTTGCGTACATCCTTTCTCCATCTCACATTAATTTTTATTGACGTTTGACATTTTATAACATACATCAAATCGAATATACGTAACATACATACATTATTAATTTGTAACCAGGTTGTATGTATTATTAGATATTTTGACGTCGTGTGGATAATTCATTAACAAGTTAAACAATGACGTGTTGACTGTCCACACATTACCATTCTATGTCAGTCGACACCGCGTTGAGATATAAAGTGCTCTTATGAAACCATTTTTTTTCATTAATTTTCACGATAACAGTATTTTAATTTTACTACACCAGCCTTGTAATATTTCTACAGAAAAATAAAATTGTTAAGTAACAGCTGTTTACCTTGTTAATGTATTTTTAACTATATTGCTTATGATGTTGATAACGATATCGTGTTGTCGATTTGTTTGTAAGTTCCCATCAAGGATAATTCTAACATGACATTAAATATTACTTATCCCATATTAATTATCCTATATTACCTATCCCTTATTACTCATCCGAAAACTACTAATCACAAACATTGGTTCAGCCAAAGGTATGTCATGTATTCACTTTATAAGCCAGACAGTTCAGCGTGAGACTAGTAATAATGACACAGCGTATTAATATGAAGGAGCACACTGTCACTTGATCACATGCACGCCTGACTATGAGATGCAACAATTTTCAATCAGTTTAGCATTTTAATGTTTCACACATCTCGTCGTTCAATTTGTTGGATTTTGTTTAACGAGGAGTCACAACTTTATCAGTGGTATTGGTTCATGTAGTTTTAGGGGATATACACCATAGTATCGCTCATGTCGTTCATGGTCGAGTATTACATTTAGATATATGCAAGCAAGGCGAGCAATAGATTAAACAGGTTGAGTTTTTTCATCTATATTGTAATGGTATTACGTGTGTCAATAAAACGAATCAGTTGTCAGTTTACCGACTGGTATTAAATTGCGAGGATGAAGTCCAATCAAATTTGATTAAAGATGAAATAACTTAATGAAATGAACGATATTGGACGTCCAATGCATTGAGCAGTCCACATAGCAATGCGATAGTTAAGTATCAGTCAGTTATTTGTTCTTATTATACAGTCATAAATAAGTTTTATGTATGTGACATTTACACCACCCAGATAAATAATAGGTATAGATATATGCAGGTATTATATGAGTAATACTTATAATTCACGTATTATTAGCTAATATTTCACTTTGTTTGTTAGCTAAAACAACACTAAAGCATGGTCAGTCACGTTCCACACACTACAAAAAGAACAATCTGCAAACAATGCATCAAATAACCATATGGTAATCGATAAAACCATTTGTACAATGAAAGAATAATCGCATGAATAATTTACGGGACATATGTACTCATAGTCCTAAATTAAGACTTTTTTTTATTTTTAAGGATTATTTTAATTTAATTTCTCCGTAAACTATTTTTTTAATATTAATATGACTGCGACATGTTTTAAAGTCAAGTTCACGGGTACCGTTCTTCAAATTTCCGGCTCAAATGTTGGTTGGTGTATTCGTGTAACGCTATTGAGCTGCAGGTGTGTTGATAAGTGTATCAATCTGTTTACCGCGAATTTATCGTGATTAGCGGAAACAATTATTTTCTGCCACTAAAATGAGCTGGTTTGACCCTTCCACCTTGTTATCGCTTTTACAAAATAGTTCTGTGCCTTGCTCTCATTAGAAAATGTTACGCCGGCTTGTTCTGATCGAGCAGTAAATATTTGATTTAAAGGTGTATTGTCGGTAAAACTGGAAGCCCTTTCAATAATGAGTAATTCGTCAACAGAGGCGGCGGCACGAAATGTTGCGATGGGGGTAAGATCTGCACACCAACCTTGCACCGAAGGCGCGAACTTACAAAGGGGCCCGGGCATGCTCCCCCTTAAACATTTTGAAAAATAGACCCTCTGAAACGCTATTTACTGTATTTTGAGGGGCAAATTTTGCTGACACAAAAGATTTCAACTTGATTTTGGTGGGGGACATTTTTTTCGAGGGGGCGGGTGCCTCCTCTGCCCCCCCCCCCGTTCCGTGCTGCCGCCACTGGTTGACGATCGAACCTGAAAGTTATGGAGCTCGCGGGTTGTCATGATCGACCAAGTATTTATTGTCTTTAATACATTAGTCACTTTCATGCATTATTGTTCGAATGCTGCTTCGTGTGCGCGGTAAAGTAGGCCACACACAGCCCAACTTGGCGCATCCCGTCTGTGAGTGAGCCCAACATTTGTGCTCAGTTGCGTTCAAATTAGTTCACTGTTTATGACTGAGATTTCCCGACTGTGTGACACACGCTGCTATCATCTGACCACACTCGATTTTCATGCAACCTGTTCGCCTTTTATCACTTCTCTCAAAATGCAACGCAACAAGCCTTTACTTGGCAGCACTCTGCAACATATTCAGTTTTTCTAATGCCATTGTTAAGTTGCGGCAATGCACACTGCTGCGATAAGTTATAACCTGCGCGTTTTGCAATAATTACTTCTTTAAATAATATGTTGCTTTTATCATGAGCCTGTGGCACTATAAATATATATTTTGTTAAATCAATTGAAATGATACATAAATATCGATATAATTGTGTGAATATTTTTTCCGCATCAAAGTGGAGAATGTTACACTCATTTGTATTCACGTAGTTATGAACCTGGTTACCTGAAATTGATCATGTTGATTGTATGACCACGTACCCTGTTTTCCGAAAGTTGTCAAAATCCGGACTGTTTCTACTTCACGGTGTTACACAATCTGAATATATCTAACATTAAGAATGAATTTGATCTAGGCATATAACAATTGTGTTCTCGGTTTCTTACAGAATGGGCGATATCAGTCAATAACAATTAAAATGTGTTTTATATAGATATTTTTACCATATCCTACTGAGAAACACTGAAAAACAGTGTATGTAGATAAATTGTTCTATTATTTGAAAAAAAATCACCACGATTACATGCCGAATATTATATTTGAATGACGTTATAACGCCTACGTGAACAAAACGATCAAAGGTTTATAAAAAGTGTAAAAATGGCAATCTTGATTATGTCACCGCTTTTAAAATCTAAATTATATGATTAGTTTTAATTGTCTCATGTCTTTCTCTTAAGATTAATAGCAATATAATGGCAGGACTGACTGCATGTAATACTCCAAGTACACGTGATAATGAACATGTATTTATTGCATGGACGTTAGTTGTTTCTTGGTATAATTGATATTAACATAGTTGAAAAACGCAGAATTATATTATATTATAAATAAATACAAAATGTGACAATTGCTACTAAATTTCACTTATACATTTTTAATCTAAAAAACTACACTCTATGTCAAACCGCAACGACAAAATATTGCAGTACAGGGTGGGACATTGGGTGGGGAGTTTGTCGGAGAAGTCTTACTATATGTTCTGCTGCAGGGACAATGCGAATTTAAACTTGTTTTTGTCAGTATCCATTCGATTATTCTTTTGCCCTACAATCATATAAACAAAGATAGTTTTTAAATATTTCGACCTCCCTGTCTTCTTTCTCACCACATTGGTTAGTTCACGTGCTTAAATCCTCATTGGATAAGATGGGTATAGTTGAATAAATTCAAACGTGATTACATCTGACAATGGTCATCAAATGCAGTTTCGTCCCCTAATAACTCACTGCGAATTGTCGCTGAGCGCTGCCATTTCAGCCAAATGCTGTGCCAGTGTAACATTTTTACACCTGAGTTTTCCGACAGTGTAATTGAACAGAAAAGGATCACAGAAGCATCGCTGCTCAAAGTCGTCTTATTTTTCAATAATACGTATCCTAATTTTAAATAGCTGAACAAAATATAATTCTGTCTGAATGGTTTAAAAATTAACATTAAATTTTCAGAAAACTCTCAAATATTTGAACAAATATATTGACGAGGAAAGTATGTGTGAAAACAATTGAACTGAATCGCATGATATGTGTTCATTTGCAGCTTGTTTTTGACACCTACTTCTGCAAACAAATCCCCATTTGTACCATGTCTTCAAAAGACTCTTTATGTTAATGGAAATATTCAAAGTTGGGGTATACTTTTCTTTAAAACGAAACTCAAAATAACGCACCCAACCGATTTGCTTTTTTTTCATTAATAAACCGAATGCATCCGATTATATCCTTTTCACAGACAGCAGTTTTCAATTTGCATGATGACATATATTCTTGAAACATACTTTATTCTTTTAATGTCATACTGATACATGTCGTGCTTTTGATAAAGTCATCACATGAGAAGAAATTAAACTCAATGAAATTAAAGTCAATGGATGTACAATAACAACTACGCGACTTTCTGGCGTCTGTTTGTCTAGACAGACTACCGTCCTTCAATTTTTATATGTGTTCATATCTGTTTGTTTGCTATTACACCGGCGTCAGAAAAAAAGAAACTGAAGTGAACAAGTTACGTCGGCGTAAGGGGCTTCTATGTGGCGAAACCTTGGAAGGAAACAGCAGTCTAGACAGACTACCGTCATTCAATCTTTATGTGTTCATATCTTTTTGTTCTATTATACCGGCGTTAACAGAAGTTAACACGTCACGTCGGCGTTTGGGACATGCATGTGGCGGAATTAAAACTGAATCTTAAACTGAATTTGAGAACCACAATCAACTGTATTTACGTTTATCTCATAAATTATAGAATAAGTACTCTCATTACGTGTCAAATTGCCAGGCAGTTTGGTTTGTATACGTTGTTAAACTCGAAATACGGACCATGGTTCCAACAAGTTTATATGTATGTATATTATTATGACATTTTACATGACCCAAAATTGTCAAATGTATTTGCTCGATTGAAAAAGTACACAAAAGACGCAGAAATATATGATCACCGGAAACACTACCTGTAGTGCGAGTCAGCTTCAATGTGGTGTTATCCAGGGAACCACATATTGCACGACTCTTGAAAAAAACGCTGTTATGAAATTCTTAACGTTTTTATCGCGTGATTTAGGAAAACTTTCTAATCAAGGAAAGGCAATCAAGGAACAGGGATGTTCAGTAAGCGTATAGAAAACATATTTAGTTATAAATATTCTTATATAAAATGGATGTCTGAGTTTGAATTAGAAAGAGGGGGCATAGAATAAATCTCCTACCCCATGCTGCTTGACTGTGACGACAAGAAATCAAATTATACGGACACTGACCATTGCAATTCGTTCTCCTAATACGTCAACACGGGCAATTGAATTTACTTCTACAAGTGCGTTTAAATTGACTTAATAGCAAGTCATCTCTTCCGATAAATATTGTATATTGTATATTTATCTACATGCGACAAAACACTGTCAAAATCGATTATGAAGAGAAGGGAGAGTACGCATATGTATAGAATACGCAGCAAATCCTTCCAATTGTACAATGTCGATTAATATTCAAATACATATTTAACAATCCTTCACGATCGAAGCATACAATCATATTTATTGTACGCCATATAGAGTATACTCTATTGAATTACTTTTAAGGACGGTGTTGAATTCAAATATAAAACTCTTCTATAATTATACGAGTGTCTGAAAAGTAATATATTACCTGCTTTTTTTTCTTATTTTTTTTTATCGCGATGACGATTAAATCACAAGGAGTGCGCTAATTAAAAACTATGGCCAGGTATAATAACGATATGATTCACATAATACAGCTTTTGGATTTCTGAATTCAAATTATGTACTTATATTATGTCATGTTGTGGCATTTTGTTAATCCAAGATTGGAACTGCAGCTTATCTCTACCTCCATTATTATATAAATTAAATTAATAATAATGTTAGCTGTACGTAGCATGTGGTTTATACGTTATCGCGGGGAAATCGCAACAAGTATACGGTTTTTCAACAATGATTTAGTTAACCATATTTCGTGTTTTCTTTCTGTTGCATTAAATCATCAATTGCGCTTTAAATTTAGCCAAAAAAACAAATATAAATACGAATTTACATATCAGCAGTGAGAGCTCATTATATATTCATCTGTGTAGTCATACATATGTTTATTGCATCAAACGTGTGCAGTATGCGTACATTGAATGCGTGCACTTAAACTGACTTGCTGATTGAACAATTTCTTCAAAGAAACATAATGTATCAGCCAGCCGTTTAATAATGACAATTTTGTTTTATGAGAAAAATAATCGAGTCGAAAGATTTCTATTGCATTTCATAAGTTAGTAATTGTGTTAAAATGACACCGTTGTTCGAATCAACCGACACCTCTCGCTTATTGAATCCCGTTGCTATGGAGATGGTGAGTAATTGGCGGTTGCTAAGAGTAACAGTAGTTAATTCATTAATTGTAATATTATCGGCTGCGATAATGATATATTCCCGTTTACTGTTTGTTGTAAACATACTATGGAATTATATATTTGCGTAGCTTCTAAAATTAAGATTTTGACAATTGATGAAGCAGTTGCTGTGATCGTTTTATATCGATTCTATCCTATCGGCTTTCAATCAGAGTAAATTGAATCATAATAACATGTGATCTGAGTTAGATTTGGTTTAACACATCATAAATATCCGTTACTGACACGATGATGGAAGACATTAAATAAATTGTGTTGAGAAGGGGAATAAACAAATGCCATTGTCACGTTTAACCACATTCCCTCGAACTGTGGTTTAACGGACCGGCCAATGATATGACCTCGCTTTGAATACTGTGAACCGTTTCACAATCTTTGGTTGGCTCGCACTGAACATTCAACGCTTTACAGTACATGACTTACCACATGTCGAATGGAATTGGCAAACCATTCAGTCTATATACGTCGAATTTGAAGTGAAATCACAATTTATAATTATTGTCACGTAATTTTAGATTGTGAATTGTAATCTTTTACGCTTACTAGCTGCATTTCGTGATGACAATCCTGACGGCGAATAATAAAATTGTTTGATAAACAGGAATATTTGTTTAGGCTTTTCCTTACGGCGGGGGTATTTGATCAGCATCAAATCGCTATACAACGCCAATGCGGCGTCGTTTTGGTTTTTATATCAATATATCAGAGAAATTCGTTGTCGGAATTCAATTAGATCTTTTGAATTCCATAATCTGTAAGTCTGCTTGATCGGGATTTTCAATTATTGTGGCTTCATCGTAGTATTCTTAAAATCTCCCAATATGTTTGTATCTTGTTGCGTGGTTGGTCGCAGAACATATGGTTTTATTTGTACGGTGTTCCCCAAAGAGAAGGTGACGTTACGTCAACGCCTCCTTAGCTGCCCAAAAAGTGTAACATGAAGAGATCGATTGTGTCATAAAATATGATAATACGTTCGGCATTCACCAATATGAAAGATTATGTGTGGTCATATTTCAGAACAATTAAACGGTAGATATGATTGAACTAGCTCCAAAATGTATATCTGGTCACATAGACTTGTTTGATCCAAATCAATTTTTTATTTGAATAGTCAACATGAAGAATTATGACAAAAAAACAACATTTAGATTTGATTATTTTTGAACGCTTGGCATGTTTTGTATAAAGCAATAGGTACGTGCACACATCAACACGTGGTCTCAGAAAATAGTCTGATTGGAGTCAAGGTGATAGATCAAACGTAAGTACTCACCGATTTCACAGTTCGTGCCGGAGTAACATGTTGGACACAAACATTCGTAGTCAGTACACGACCCTTCTTTCAGTTGGCATACACCACCATTTACACACGGATTACTGTTGCAAGCAGAAGGACCTTAGGACAAAGATTTTAACTTGAATAAGTTATAATTTTGCAATATACCTTAGTCACAAATGGCCGGCAAGATCTCGTAGGGCGCGAGAGACATGAGACTTTCCCCCTTTGAATAATGTCCCCATCGTCCCCACTGTATCACTGATTTATGTAACTATGGCATTTGGATTAGTGGACGCGATATATTTGAAATATTTGAAAAATATTTGAGAAACAAAAACAAGCCCTCTCGCACTTAGCGAGATCTCAGCACTCATGTGCATCTATGGTCAATTAATGTCTTGACGTAAAAACAATACTTATTACGTCTTACTATGATCGTGACGTCATTATTTGTCAGGGAGAAGTGTGCACGTGGATGTTCGATTGTGTATGGTGTGTTGCACAATGGATTGTAGTTTATCGTGAATTTCACTCAAGTATTCGCGTACAACAGTGTTTTCGTTCAATGAAATCATTAACTACCTAAGGTAATTAATACGCACTAGTGATTCAAAAACATGCGTAACGGCATAAGCTTTTAGGTGCGCGCGACGAGAACGAGTGGAAATAATAGATAACGACAGCGACGTAGATAATGGCAATTACTGGTATGCCTTTTGCTTTTTAACAGTAAGATAAAAGTTTCATGATTACAATGCAGCTTTCAACCATCAACAAAGTAAATGCAAGGCGATGCAAAGACAACCTACCGTATTCACAGTGTTCACCGTGATAGCAATCCGTGCAGTAACAACTGTATGCTGTATACAGGCCGATCACGAGCTGACACACTCCGCCATTTTGACAACGATCCCCGTCGCAAGGATTTCCAGCTAACAGAAAAAATATAATTTGTTATTTAGTTGCATAGTATATAGTATTTATGTAACTATTTCAGAATTGTCTTGTCAAAATCAATTGTATTCAGGTTTTCTCCAAATAACGAAAAATGTATAATGGCGAAAACGGAAAGGCTTTATCGTTATGTTTAAAGAAATCTGCTCAAAGGGTTGAGCGCGTGATAAATGCGCACACAAGACGTGCGTTCACGTTGGACTTATGGATGACATAAATAGATGCGAATTTATGGAATTTTTGATTGAAGCGAAATTATAACAGATCTTAGCGAATCTAAGATTGATTAATTACTCTCGGCTTTTCCGTAAATAATTAATAGCTACTTGTTAACTGAACTGAACTGAACTGAACTAATGTTGGCTCTGTAATATATCTTATTATGTTTGTTTTTTAAAAAAAAAACTAATGTGCATGCGTGGAATAAAACTTTTGTTATGTTATACACAAAATAAGATTGATAAATACGACACTTTATTACCGGAACAGAGTTTCACTTCAACTGATAAATCGCGCAATTATTGTATTCAGGTATTTGTGAACATTGCAAGAAATCCATGAAATTGACGGGAATTGGCAACACTGAATTGAATTTATGCTTTACGTTTGCTGTGATGTAATTAACCAGGTTCCTGTAATTTGTTCTAGCCTACGAGTTGTACTGTTGTATAAGTATAGTTAAGTAATTTACGATTACGTACTCGTTCGTCTGCTCTCTGTGGCTGTAATATTCCTTCCATTTACAAATGCAGACACAAAAATGCTGTATTGCGTGCCGGGAAATAATCCAGAAAACGTGTATTCCATGAGAGATGTAGACAATGAAACAGGAAATACGCCGTCCGCTGCTGGGTCCAACAAAATAATTATGCTGTCGCCAGTAATCGTTCCATATATCTGCCATGATGCTTTGATTACTGTAGGGCTGACATGAGTGATAGTAATTTTGATAATCTCGTCCTCTGAAATATATAGTATAACAAAGTTATAAAGATTGTCATGAGGTGTGGAGACAGATACCTACACTGGGGGTTGCTTTCAAGCATAAAACTTGTTAAAGTTAAAGTGGTAAACAAGAGTTTATTTTACATGTCATTTAACATTTGTCTGTTTCCATGGTTAGTGAGTCCAGTGAATGTTGTCTGGCATTATCGGGCACCGTGAAATAATTGGGACGCCCAAATGTTGAAACAAGCTCACTTTGATAACGGTTTCTCATAAAACTAATTGCAATTGTTGGAGGGACTGAACATATTGAACTATCAAAACTAATGAAACACAACTAATCACCCACCAGCAAAATTACTACGAAAACATCGATTGATGGAATGCATAATTCAGTACATGTGCTAGGGAATTCTCGCGAGATTGCATTAGTGAACTACGTGCGCGAACTGCAAAAGTCGGTTGAATACAATGTATATCTCCGTGACACAGTCATTTACTGCAATCTGCATATGTACGCTAATGTGCTTATTGTGAACGCTCGTACAAAATGTGTTGGTGTTGGTCAAACGCATGGTACCATTCCTTTTAAATTAGCGTATATGTCAATCTGATATAATGCATTTTGAAATTTTCACTACAAATATATAAACAGCCAATTGCCCCTTGACAAGTATATAAACGTGACTAGGTATCATTTGCCTACTGCAGGTCGACACGCTAGGTGAAATGCATTAAAACCTATGTTTCCACTTAACGAACATCAATTTTCTCAGGCATTTGCGCAATGATCCCATATTTATATTTCCCGTCCTTTGTTCTTGTAACATAAAATACCACTCTTGTGTATATATAGAAAATTACATATACTTTGGATAAGTTTACCTCTTATGTAAAAAAGACGACTGTGAACATTTTCACAGAAATGATGTGTTTGGATGTTTGATATGTTTTCCAAAATGCTCATTATTATACTAAATGAGTAAGCACTTGATAATACGCCAAGTTACGTGATATATACTTATCATAATAGTATGCTCTCGGTCTACTCAATAAAATTGTCATAAACGATTGTTAGTTTCAACAAAATGCAATCATCCAGCTGTCCAGTTGCTGTTTCATTCCATATCCTGTCCGACCTTTCCATTTAGCCCCGTGTACATTCATTTGAAACAACATTGGGTATTTTGGCTCAGTAACACATTAATTAAATATACAAAAAGAAAATGCGCACTTCGCGACTGTTTAAGAGCAACGGCGCCTTAACTTAATAATCGTAAACACGAGATGTATGTTTAATGAGACAAGAAGCGTAGCATACAATGTAAAAAAAGTTACTGGTTCCCGGGAGAGAATATCACTACCTTAGAGACATGTGGACAGCATACAATTTATAGAATTATTTTTTGACGTATTGCTAATAACGAGTAACGCATGACAATAGCAACGCTGTACACCTCTGACTTAAAATAGGTGCAATATTATTAGTGTAAATTAATCTCTAGGTAATTAAGACAATATTTATTAGAACTATACTAGGATTAATTATTTTAATATTATGTGTCTACCCTGGCTTTTTTGTTTGGGTCAACAAAGTTCACAGAGGAAGCATGTTTCATCGTGAACTGAAGGTGTAAAAACAGCGCGTGGTCCGTTTTTGATGTGCCAGTTGCCATGAGAAACCATGCTGTCCTGTCTGATTGCCTCACAAAATAATGCCTACATGACACACATTATAAAATATTACTCTGAACTCGTAACGCCATATGTCGTGCATGTCAATATACACACATTTAGCGAAAACGATGTCGATCAGTATGGATGGTCTATTTGTATTATCTTCACTAATTGTTTGCCACCACGTAAAATACTATAATATACCAACAAAAACTTTTAAAAGAATATCTGGGGCGTGATTAAAAAAACTAGTAGATACCCGAATCGTCTAAAATAAACGAAAATGGCGTCCTTTCAAACACGAATGAAGCATCGATCGTTTTGCAACAGATATACAATGCAACCAGCTGATCAAATGAAGTATATTATAAGGGGTAACTGGTTATTATTACAGTTAACGAGAAAAACGCGAGAAAATGTATACAAGAACACTTAAAGAAAGTGCTGAATCATTTTGTGCCTCTATGTTTTGACCTATGTACATAGTGTCAACAATGCACGTCGCATGCAATGGCACAATCAAACTCCAAACTGCCTACGCACTACGACGATTATCAACAATCACAACGCATGTAATGGGGATTTAATGACTTGAGAACCAAGTTTAGGGTGTTCTAGAAATACTTTAGTGGAAACGTAAGTGCACGTTTATCACACCATTTAAAGCAAATGACGCTGGTTGACCGGAAAACTGGAGATTATAAACTAAACAACGCAAATGCAAAGAGTTTCGTGGTGATTGTCTTTTTTTTTTTGAAGTTTGACACCATTGAAATTAGTGTATTGGAAGGAGTTAATAGCTCTATGCGTGGTTGGCTAATTTACCATTCAAAATCTGTCTTAAATTGTCGTATGAGGTTAATTAGTAAGTTATATGATGTCGGCTGAAGACGCGTTGTACCTTGGCACTGTATGCAATACAAATAAATAAATAAATACAATGATTCTGTGGACGACGAGCAACAAAAAAAACATACTTTAATAATACAGTTTATGTTGTTGTGGATTCCATAAATCATGACAGTTTAGCGTGATGATTATTTAAATACAAATCGAAAATCTGATTGGTTAATGCAAGCAGATTGAACTTTTGGCATCGATATTTTACCCAATATTTGTTTTAATTAATATTAAGAATTATATAAATTTGAATATTTCTGGTGATTTCAGTTGTAAACAAAAACGCGCATGTGAGACATCGCTTCAAATTGCCTCATCCTGATTTTCTCTGCGCACAAGAACTTGTTTCACCATTTCCCTTGAAGTTTGTGAAAAGCCACTGATCCAGAATTAGTATTTATGGTAATATGTTGCTCTAAAGTCAACTAATAACGGTACTCGGTTTTTATGAGCGGCAATCTGTATATACAAATGGGGTGTTACGCTCTACAGTGTCTTACGCGCTCACAAATTACGATCACCGTGTTAGTTTCTAGCATTTATCAGCTGTAATACTAGTATAACCAAAGACTAGAAACAAGTACAAATTACTAAATTCGTTTAATTGTTTGCCATGATTTACCGTTTTCTTGCTTTTGATTTAGGGTAAGAATACAACTGTGAAATACGACTTTGTTTATAGTTGGGTATTCTTTAGTATACGTAACTCGCAATAATCTTGAAAACTGTTTTTTTCTTTAAATTAATATATATATATCATTGATTGTGTTATACAAAACGTACAAGGCGGCCGAGTACTGCCATACAATGCAACTTATACAGTAAACCGATACCACATACATGTTGATAATATTACGGTCCTTATAAATACGTGTCAACATATCCATATTTAAATGAACATTTCGAGAGGCCGCCACAGATTAAATATTAGTACTGTGGTTTTCATGTATGCTGAATGATCAAGTCCTCTGTGTTGACATCGTCAAGTCATTTACCCTGTACCACTAAAGATGCGGGTTGGTGTGTTTCCATTACGGATCCTCAATAATAACCCATTTATGTTTGAACCATGGGCGTATAGGTTATTATCCTTTGTTAATAGAAAATTTAAAAAATAAAAGAAACGTGCGTCATTTGTCATTTTGAGTTCGATATGAAACAAGGTCTGATTGATTATTTGTTTGAACTTGGTAATCAATTAGTATAATATTGAATGTCAATGTAATTTCCCTGAAATTTGATGGGAGGGTATGCAAATCTCATTAAACTGTCGCCGGGACACTAATTGAGGATTGCAAATAAAAAGACGTTTTTATGGAAAAGTTTATTAGTGATTTTTGTGAACTAGGTTCATCTAAAATTGTATTTAATTCGAATGTGTACACGTAATATGAACACCGGTTGTGTTCCCATCTTGTGCAGATTAAAACGCGCCCCAAAATGTCACGTCAATTTGTGGCCTAGGGTACGCGAGGTAGTATATATACATTAATACTGGCACATCACATCGCGATTACGATATATAATGGTTTCAGCATCTACATGTTCATACAATCATACAATGCAAATTGGTTTGCTTAAGTGGAATTAATTAGTATGAAAATTAATAAGCAATTGAAATCTCATTTCCGTTTGTTCTGTTTGTGATTAAAGCCAATTGTTCCAAACCTTTTCTTATCAGCATGTTCTTATCAGCTTTCATGTTGATGGGCGGGAGTGAAACAAAGCCAATGTTTTGCAAGGCCTACAAGTTGCAAATTAAAATTTTATTTTAGGACTCAATGACATTCATAAATTCTCAAATAAAACCTAATTACCCTAATGGTTTCTTACTCAGTTATACAATAACACCTTCGCTAAATTTATAGAACAGTGATAAAGACAATCTTGAAACAAATAAATAGGACAAAGTGTTGAACATATTTGAAACCACTTGAAACAATATACAGTGTGTGGTCTCAAGATACTGAAGTCAGGTTTTTCTCCCTAATGAATTTGGAATTTAATTCAAAATTTCAAATATAAAATTAGTCATTATAAACTTACAGACTACCATCAATATTTATACTTCATAGATACGCAGGATATTTCCCCACTGGTTATTATGATCACAATGACAAATAATAAAAACCAATTTGGCAACAAATCCCGAAGTATTGGACCACTGAAGCTAGTCTGTGCTAAAGTCGTGGTGTTTAATTACCAAATTACTTATTTCAGAAGTTTTTTAAAATTCAAAAGAAAGTTCTCATGAACTGTACAAAGCACTTATGATTGGTTTGGTAGAATGTTCAGTATTCAGAAAATACGTATTGTGCCATATCTAATTGACAGCCAAGTCACAGGGAAGCTGCATTGAAAGCGTGTTATTACAATACGTGCTATTGAATGCATTATTTATAGTAATTAAGCACATACTCTATCCTAGGATAAATGACGCCGTACTAAAATAAAAGACAATGTGTCGGTAATAATATAACAAAAATACGCTTACGTTTTAGCCGAGCAATACAAAGAATATATGTTTGAATAAGTCATGTATGTGTAAATTTACAAAAAAGAAACATGTATGAAATGATAACCCGATTATAATAATCAGAGCATAAACAGTGCAACATTTTTTAAACGTCAATAGACGGGAATATTGATAAGCAGTATTCTGATATACTGCGCACAACATCAAAAATATACGAAATTAAAAGCAATTGCATCATCAAAGAAAACCGCTTTTAATTCTTCTAACACGTTAAAAGCATTATGAACAATTGCGCCAAGACATACACTCTAATTATGGGGTAACATAATGTTAAATAGTTTGAAGACTTAAAGATATTGAATGATATACCATTATACAGTATATAGTTGCAATTAAAGGTTTCTCATAGGTTTATGGCATTTGTTCATATTGTGATTTTTGATTTACGGGTATGTAAAACGAAATTACATTAACGGATGTAACTGATAACTTTTCCAATGAAATCCTTAGCACCCCGTTGGCAGGCCAGTCACACTGGTTCTCACCACAAGAGGTTACGATCCCCCCTGCCAAATGCTAAGTACAACTGAAACTAATATCTACATATTTACATGAAAAAATGTCCACCTGTGCGGATCTATTTGTGCAGGCGTTTTACGACCGTATGCCCTTACTGACGTCAACCGAACTTGTTATGTGGGAAGTTGGCACCCAAGACTCACAGGTGCTACACCTTGCCCAAGGGTGACCTGGAGGTAGTTGCGGCAAAGGATAACCTCATTCTCCCGAGTACAAAAACTCCGCAACCGGATGCAATTTTAACGTCGTACCCAGGACATAAAAAATATGTTTTAAAGCTGAAAACCGACACTACTAAGCCATGAGGCCAAACCTGTAATAAACCAGGAGCGCTGAAAAGCACCGCGTTCACCCGCGCGATCAGTGTGTGTTGTGTTTTCAAGTTAACGTTGTCGACACCAAACGAAACCATCGTGACAATAGAGGGATGCATTAATCATAGATAAACATAATAAACAGCATTCAGTGATTTTGGGATTTGAATAATTCGTAAAAAAGGGCTCGTGATATACAAGTATAATATAACAAAAACTATATAATACAAGTGATGTTTGTTCAATATACGCATGTCAAGCTCAGAATGATATCCATGATGTGTAGCAGTGCGTTAGGCACGTACAACGTCACTACAGATAAATATGATGACTGCAAACAAATTGTTAGATAACCTAATACGTGAAATGGTACAACAGAGAGTATAGGAAAAAAACACGATCACGAGCCCAACATTGATAGGCAGCATAAAGAGCAATTGCAGTGGGGTTCGTGATTCTTCCATCAATATGTATAGGTCTTTTTAGACGTATTACAATTTATCCTATCCAATTTTTGTTCAATATTCTGGAATATGATTTGTTCTCAAGAACTTTTGTATCTATAGTTCAAAAGCGATGAATAACCAGCTCCTGCAAAGTATTAATGCTAAACACCTAGAAACAAAACACCGATTGCCTTCTCAGCGATATTGGATGTTGTGGTGGAATTGCTCTAGCAAATCGGTAAGAGAAGGCTGATAAATCCAAGCACGCAAAGATTCGGTGTTATGCAATTCATCCAACATATACGATTTGAAATACATAAATTAATAACTTGTACAAGCTATTGTGTTAATGTATGAATAAAGTGATGTTGCAGTATTACTAAATGCCGTACATGACTGTTTAATAAGATATAATGCACGACTGGATAGATACAATCCTCAGATGGGAAAAACCTTTTATGTGTCATTAAAACACATTCAATTTTTACTTCATTGTGCGGACTGTAACATTCTGAATGTAATTGCATGTGACGTCATATGCTAATAGGGAACTCAGTTACTTTCCTATATGAAGTCTATATCGAATTATGTAAGTGTATGTGTGTATAAGATTGGATTTTTAAGACTGTAAACTTATTTAATTTCGTATGAGACAATTTTGGCGAAATGTTGTCTTCGCGAATGCAATAAACTCCAAATGTTTTAGCAGTGCGAATTGAAGAATTCAAATTACACAATTGGTAAATAATTAACATACTAATAATATCTTGAATTAACTCTACTTTATTAACAAAGCCGGGGAGGAACGGGGAATCGCAAATACTCCTTTGTGAACATAATGTTGTATTCCCGCATTGTGTACTAGTGTGGGGTGTGCCATATGGGTATATATTTTGATGTGGCTTTACTTGCTTGTTTCAATTTAATATTGAGAGTTCAATAACATACTTAACACCGTTGGAGCATAAACATCCGCTTTTAGTATCTATTCCGGTAGGGAACGTGGGCTGTTCGACGTGTTGTTCTTTTATACATTTCTTGGTAAATTCAGATCTACGTGAATGTGCCGTATGTACATACATTTTTTACACCATTCGCATCCGCGTATTTAAGTGAACCTCTAATATCTAATTTAGGTTCTTCGCTTTCTATTTTACAGACTTGTTTGGATTAATCCGTCTATAATATACATTCACACGATGTCTCGATTGCATGCAGAGTAGAAACTAATTACGTTGCATTGTACATTGATTTTTAACGCATGTATAACCTGGGCTAATGGTGTCAGATTCAACGTAATCGAATGTCAAGACAGACTAATTCAATATGCTCATATCGGACATGACACGAAGTCATAGTAGCACGTGTCTTACACGCTTACAATATATTTACCTGGTCAACGCGAATGTAATGATGTACATCGAAATGTGCTTATGCTGGTTAGTAGAGTTTTACGAGCTTAGGAACTTCGGCATTCCGATATGCCCCGTGGGCAATTACAGTTCGAGAATAGCTTAAACCAATTAGGGTATTCTGTCATAACAGTGGTGTTCGATACTGAATTATTGATTTCTATTTTTTGTTTCGTTTCTCTCTTATAAAATGCCAAAAGTACGATTCTGGAAAGGCGCAATCGATTTTTTTCTCCCAAATTATACTAATTAAAATGAATTAAACATATCGATTTTATCTATTTTGTGGACGCCATTACTTCTAATTAGAAGTACCACATGATCGATAAAACGATCTGGCAATTAGTGTTGTTGTCAATGATGCATAAACGAACGACATAGTGAATGAGTACGTGTGTGATCGCTACACATCTCTGATCGACGTCTCCAACTAAAATATCATCGGTGTATAGCTGATACACAACTAACATTAAAGTGCCGCGCGCGTCGTAAATATGCAACTTACACGCGTTCCCCTCCAATATATGGATTACAGTTAATAACTATTAGCATTACAGTAAACAGACGATATGTCGGACAGAGTACCTACAACTGATTTTTTTTTTCTTATTTCCAGACATAGAATTACAGTAACAACTTCTTAAGTGTACACGTTATTCCACTTAACGTCTCAAACTTCTCTTACCGGACTTTATGTAAACATATTCAAAGTGTATAGATTCATTGGCGCATTGAAAACGACGGTCTCGAGTCAATGCGCAATTTGACTAGCTGTAGGCTCTTCAGTTATTCTTCGTTACAGATA